CCTTTATTGGATCGTCTATGACAAAATATTTATGTATAAATCGCAGCACCTGGGCAACCCTTGGGCTAATGGACCTGTTCATAGAGAAGATACCTACCGCTTTTATAATTGACAAAGTCTGAGTAGACAGAGAAAGCTCCTTCGACAGGTCCATTTTTCATGATCTCAGCCTGTATCTGCTTGGGTCGCTGGAAACAGAGTATGCGTTGGCACCGTAATGCTTGTCTTTGTCATATTGGACGTCATAGCCTTCTTCGCATTTCTGTTGATCGGGTGTTTTGCCTCCGTCACCTTCGCAGGGTGGACGACTGCGTTCACGTGGTTGTTCGCAAGGAGCAATTCGTAGGGGCGGCAACCCTACAATGGAACATATTTAAAAATCTTCGAAATTATTGAAAATACAGAAATTTTGAGCTTTCGTTACTTTTTGGAACATTCGGAATTTTCTGTTATTTTCAGAACTTTTGCAATTTATGGAACAGTCAGAATTTTCGAAATCTTTTGAATTTTCTGAATTCTCGGAATTTTTCGGAAATTAAAAATTTTTGGAATTATTTTAGGTTTTCCGACTTTCGGGAATTTTTCTGAATTTACAAAAATTATCAGAATTTTTGGGTTTTTCAAAATTGTCGGAATTCTCGGAATTTTCGAAATTTACCGAATTTTTTTGAATGATCGGAATTTCAGTTATATCGGAACTTTCATAATATTCGTAATTTAGAGTATTTCCAAATTTTTGGATTTTTTAAAAATGTCCACAATTTTCTGAATTTACAAAATATTTGAAATTTTGTGATCTACAAAATTTTTGGAAATTTTGGGATCTACGAAATTTTCAGAATATTCGAAATTTTAGGAAGTATCGTAATCTTAGGAATTAACGCAAATTTTCTGAATATCTAGAAATTTTCGGAAATTTCGAAATTTACGAAATTTTCTGAATTTTCAAAATTTGCGGAATTTATGGAATATTCGGAATTTTCGCAATAAATGGGAATTTCTGATCATCATTTCAAAATCATGTAAATTTTTTAGCATTTCTGAATTTTTTTGAAATAACAAAGATTTTGAGGTATTAGGAAATCCCTTGGACACTTGAAATTTTTGAATGCCTGTTATATTTTAGAAACTTCTATAGTGAAAATTTTTGGCACTAATTGAACTTCTTGAGGTTTTAAGTTCCTCTGATATACTTACAATTGGCAAAATTGGCAGTTTAGTGATTGTGACTTTCGTTATTTTTGAAAAGGAACTAAACATAAATCTTACAATGTGAGATCCATATGGCCCTCCAGACACAAGTCCCTTTCTGACCCAGTAGTGCCAGGCAGCCCCTGGATAACCTCCATTGCATCCCATTCCACAGGTCCAGCAGCAGGAAACCAAGTCGTCAGAAGAGAATCTGAAGTTCACTTTGCCTTTGGAGTGGATGCATACCCTGTCTGACATTGCTTCCACTGCACCAAAAGCCTACGATCAAAATTATTTGTACCGCCGTTATGCATAACTTGACCAAGCGCCATTTGATAAATTTCTGGATTTTGCTGCCATATGATGCACAGTAGTTCAACTTACATATAATAAATGCAGGCAGTATAGAGACCTGAGGTTCAAAAGAAAAAACATGTTTTACTAAGCGCCAAACGTAATATTTGTTGTTATTTATTTTGCAACAGATGACCAAACGACAGATTTTGTGTAGAGTCGGCATTTGTACTAGTCTTATACCCAAGGATTCCAAGAAGTTCTATAGGAATCTAGTTGGCGATTCAAGTATTGAGGAAGATGTAGATGGGTTCAATGGTCAACCAGATTTCGAGCTTGAGGATGAATAATACAAATTTTCGATTCAGGTTCTTGATTCATTTCGAAAATGTGTGGTTACTTCTTGCTTCATTTTATTTTTGAATCAGTAAATAATCGAGTTTATTATAACATTTGTCATTCAAGCAACTTCTTATGTGGTTTCGGCAATCTTTTAATTTGTGTAGTTTTAATTTTTCAATGAATTTGATGCTAATTACTAAAATACAAAAATAAAGAATCTTTCTGCAATGCGTTCCTTATTTTGCATAGCATGACCAAGTAACATTTTTGTGTTGAAAAATGAGCATTCATTTTGAAAGCAATATTTGACCAAGCGCCATTTCATTTCATTAAGTTTCAGGTATAAGAGTTTTTGAAAAATGATTGCATACATAAATTTTTAATATCATTTTCTATTCACAGAACAAAATCATTCACCAAAATCATAGCATGGATTTTTAATGAATTCTTAAAGTTTATTCATCTTCCTGAAAAACAGAGATTTGTTGCTTGATCAATTCATGCATAACGCGGTCCATTTCTTGCTCCGTTCAAGAAAAATAAAGCAGCGCAAAATGTCATCTGTTACCAGAATCGACCACTTCGAAAGTGAATACAGCAAGCTGCCTCTGATTCTGGTGCTACAGTAAACAAGGTCTACTCGCTATTGTGGAAACTTGTAATATACGAGGGGTACTAGAAAAGAAGTTGACCTAGCCATGAACAAAGACGTGTGATTTCTTTGATAATTTTATTTTCAATATAATTCTGAATACATCAATGTGTTGCCCTTATATAGAAATGGTTCCTCTTGACTTTTAAAAAAGTCGCCGACAGTTGCTCTTATGCCATCATCTGAGTAAAAACGGCGTCATCGAAGACTTTTCTTTAGTAATCTAAAGCGATATTAGTCATACGCAGCCAAGTCCGGACTATAGGATCTCAACGAATCCGCATTCCTGCACTATTGGTCTAATTTGACAGCTTTATGCACGATCGCATTATCATGCAGTATAAACACTTTTCAATTGGAAAAAACTTTTCTGGTTGGATTTTTCAGCGTGTTCGCATAGACGACCGCATTTACTGTTGTCCCTTTTGGCATATATTCAATGTGAAAAGTGCCCCTTATGTCCTGAGACAATTTTCCAGCAGAGGGTTGCGTCCATGCCTTTTTTTGGTGTGTGTGTGTGTGTGAGGGAGGGGGGCTAGAGATGTTCACATGACGATCGTCGAGAAGCATGGCTTAAACTTTTGAGTCATTTTAACATTTGTTGCTGTTTTGCGTCTTCCACTTCTGGGATCGTCTTATATGGATTCACGCCCCCACCCGAAACTGTTTCGACCAAAACTTTATTGTGTAATATGATAGTGCATATCTCCATAGGCGGCAAGCATTCTCTCAATTTTTTGACACTGCAATACTCTAATTTTAAGTTGCCCATTTTTTCTCACAATTCACTTTATAAATTGAAAAGTAATTGTACATATTAACTCAAATATTGCAAGCAGGTTATGCCACTATTTGCCATATTATGCTTGTGCGTTTCAATTGTTTTTTCATGGCTAGATAGATTACTTTGCTAGTGTCACCCGTAGATTCCGTTCGTCCGGCCAGAGACGGCCAACCATGTGCAGTTGTTTCGCGCTATTTGGCAATTCCTCAGCATGGTGTAGGCATGGTCTCAGATAGGACAACAAACGAAAGCTCAGCAACTTTCCTCTATCCAGGTCTATCGAAATAGACCGTATCTATTATAGCTCCAGAATCGGCGGCATATAGCGGCCACAGTGGTGACCCAGCTGATAATGCGAATTGGGATACAGCTCCAACAGACAACTTGCTGTTTTCGCTTTCGCAGTGGTCGATTCTAGTAACAGATGGCACTTTGTGCTGTCTTATTTGGGTAGACCTTATACTCTCGATAGACGATAGTTGCTCAGCTTTCCTTCGTTGTCCTACTTGAGACCATGCTGAGGAGTTGCCGAATAGGAGGAAGCAACTGTCCATGGTTGGCCGTCTTTGGTCGGACGAACGAAAGCTGTATTACTAGTTTAAAAATAAAGGTATTTAGAAATTAGAGTTTGATTATCGGGCTTCTTACCATTCATGATACATCATGATCTTGCATAACTCGACACGTATAAGAGCCCTTATATATGTCAGTTCTTGACTTATTCTCTCTTAACTCAGTATACGAAAACATCCCAAAAATTAGGGAAGAATTCTTCCTGAATTCAGTTCGATACGGTAGATATGTGCCGATAAAATGCTGAAATAAATCTTGGATTCTTCGAAAAACCCTTTGGGGCAGAAGGGCAGATCCAGGGGGTCAGAGGGTCATGACCTTCGCTGGGCGAATCGAGATTGATCACTAACATGTTCCGGCTCTTGGTGGTATCTTTGTCCTTTTCAATTGTATAACAAGAGCATTTGTTTTCAGAATCACCGATGCAGCTGCTGCCACCCCCCACTCTCTTCAAATTCTAATCGCCTATGACCGCCCCCCGCTTTTCAAATTTCAATCGCCTTGACTCAAAGGCTAGATCCGGAATTGTTGGGACAACTTTTGGCATATCAACCAAATTAAGCAAGACTTACTGGGCAATTTACGTGTGTTGTGGCTCTAATACATATGTATTATTATATCAAGAATATCTTGATACTTGCGTATTAAACGCAAAATATTTGTGTACTGGGAACAAACTAGGTGATTGTAAGCATATCAGTGAAATGAATCAATATGTTTTCAAAACAAATTATGATTAATAGTATTATTCATATTGGCTAGCTATAGAATAGGAGCTATCAGAGGATGACTAATACAGATTTATTGCATTTACTAACGTTATTCATTGTTTTTGGTTTCAAACGCGTAACCCGGTCCCTTTCAGTTAATTTACTATAAATCATTTGATGATCCGAGAAGGGTATCAAAAAACTACTAGAAGGAAATGGAGTGCTTCTAAAGGTATTCATACCTTTCGGAATAAGAAGATGGGATAGAAGAAGACAGCGAGCACAAAAAGAAGTGCACGTTTGCAATTTCTACTTCCCATGCCTACTGACGGGGAATTTTTTGGATATATAATATTTACATTCCGAAAAACCATGCAACTCATTTTCTTCGATCTCGCTATCTGTCTGTCGGACTGTTGGACTGTCGGTCTGCCTATCTGTCGATCTGTCGGTCTGTCGCTTTGTTGGTCTATCTGTTGTCGGTCTATCCTTCAGTCCTTGGCTCGCCTATACCTTAGAAAGTACTGCTCGGATTTGGGCGAAATTTTCACACTTCACTATGTTAACAACGTAAAACCTTCACAGTTCGTGGAACCCGATCCATGTAGGCGGAGAAAAAGGCCAACAATAAAAAAATAGCGCTTAAACTTCGGTTTTGGCGTTTCAGAGAATCCTGATCATTTTTGAAAAAGTTTTCAGGGGCATCGCGATTTTTTGGTCGCAGTATACTAAAAAGCTTACAACAAAACTATAGCATATTTCACGCATGTATTACTTCCTTGAGACAATGATAGAAATAATTTGTTTAAAAAGTGCACTAGCCGCTGATAGCTCTCGAGCGAAGATCCACTCGACAACATTCTTACCGAAACAGCTGAGAAGTGTGACAACAATACGGCTGGTGTTATTAAAGCCTGAAATAATGAATAGACGTTCATGATTTGTTTGCGAATATGGAGATATTTTGTGGAATGAACAGCATCATCTATTTTTAGTACTTTTTATTTAATACCAGTTGTCCTCGGTTATTGAAAAAATAGTAAATAAACTCATAACTCTTTTCCTCCAATCATATTCATTTTACTAGATAACTAGGTGTTCCATAGCCGACCAATAGTAAACGTACCAGAACGTAAGATAGTGGATTCAGATACATCATGCGTATCCAAAGCCCATAATTTCAGTTTTTTTCAAATCAACAATGCTTTTTTTCACTGATATTCGCTCTAATCTACGGCCTTGGATCCAGACACTATACTTGTACATATATACAAATTGAAGCATATATAGTTGAAGCTATTTTTGACGATAATTATTTGATGATTGCCAATTTTATAAGCGGTCTGGTTTTGGCAAACCCAAATCACGGGTCGGTAAAGATTTAGAAAATTATATTTTAATAATAATTTCCAACGATAACTTACACGCTTTTAAAACCGACTTATACTTTCCATATATTGTTTTTTAATCAACAAGAAATTTTGGGCCCCGCTTACAGTAGCAATTCAATTTAATACTTATGATACTACGTATTTTCTGCGACTTGTGTATGACCAATATTTATGAAACAGTTTTGCACCAAATACTAAAATACTAACGCAATATAGCTGTTGATAACTTACCCAACATGACCCACATGACCCCTGGTCTCTGATTTCGCGTATCGTGGGACAATGAGGCCATTGTTCCCTGGAATCAAACGAATCCGCTATCTCTACATCATCCAATTGATGTTCCTGGATCTCAGAAGGCATGTAGTTTTTATAGTTTGGGAGCACACCCATCAGTTTCCTGAGAAGAAAATCAAACGACATAGTAGTTTCGTGTTTGCGATAAGACATATAAGTGGTCTAATTCCAAAAACCACTTTGGAACATTTTTTAGGAAATGCGAAACTTTGTTATTGGCCACAAAATAAGTAAACTAGGGTTCATAAATATGCAGAAATCGGTTTGAGATTTTGTTTGCGAGAAAATCTCAATTCAATAGTTTCTTGAAAAGTTTCGTCGACTTGGCCGTTTTTGAAAATCATTTCAGATTTTGGGGGGTCTTGCTTCAAACTTTACAAGTGCTTGCAGGGTTCACCGTCCGACGGCATTAGTCTGGAAGGTAAAAATAAGATGCAAGTGTAGTGTGCTTCTGTATTATTTATTTTGATTCTTAAAAAACACATTTAACGATATTAGCTTCCTTAACGTCACTGATCCCACATAGCCCTTCCACGACATTTTTCCCACCATTGCTAACATCTTCTTTCACCACCTTTCCAAATCTTGCGACAATATCTTTGTAGTACATAAGATTTTCCTTTTCAGAAATTTTTGGTCAGTCGATTCCAAATATTTGCACAACAGTTCATTCACATTTTTACCGTTTCACAAAAAATTGCATTTTAATAATGCATTCCGTGATTGGGTGAATTGACAGCCAAATTTAGTTGAATTTATTATTGTTTATATCTCAAGTATGCAGGATTACATCCAAATATTATTGGATATAAGTAGGTTTTGTTACTAAATGCATTTATGGATTTAGGGGATTTTGATACTAACCCGATAAATAAACAACGCGCTTGAAGGTTATTTACACTTTCTGCGGAAGCCTCAACTTAACTGTGGTGACCTTAATATCCAGGTGACCATTTGTTTTTTTTTATCCTTCTTCATTTTAGGAATCTAATAGCAGTGACTGATACTCATTTTCAGTCTATAAAATGGACTGAAGATCTAAATTCAAATCTCATTTATTCTACGTCAAAACAAATTCCGGCGCCCGACATTCAAATTCGCATATATAAATAGGGTAGAAATTATAAAAAACGTCACTGGTAGTTACCGGATTCTAGGTAAACACAAAAAATAACTACCTAATAGTGAATGGGATGTAACTCGACAACACAATACGAAATTCTCTCAAAAAAAAATCAATACATTTCGATCCCCAAAGTATGTTGATTCTATAATGCTTACTTAATATAAGAAACGTCGGTGTTTTCATGAAAGTTTCTGCCAGCTGTCCAAGTTGATTGTGCCTTGTTGATAGAATCAATGAACTCATCAGTGAGAAAATAATTTTCATTTTGAGAAGTTGATGAGTGGGCGACAACTATGACGCTTAGAAAAACTGAGTAAAGCTGCCACATTCTTGATCCTGAAAGAAAAGATACTGAGTTCAAAATGAAACCACCTCTAGGGACATGGAATCATGGTGAACTTTTTGAATAGCATTAGTACAACCCAAAACACATCCTTTCCAATATCAAAATGTTCCTTAATTATTTTTGTGGAGTTGTATTTACAAAGGATCTATTATATACCGGGAGAGCGTCTTGACGAAGATGGAATTAGTTTCCCACAATATTTTCCTTTGACGTTGAATACAGCTGATAATGATATCACATAATGTTCAATGTATTCAGTGAAGACCTTTGACGATATTGATACTGTGTTCAAAGTAGGATGGTATACTACCATTTTGCATTGTTTGTTTATATTGTAGTGAGTAATTCCAGTTTGTCATAATAATAGTTCAAATGGTCTATAATATCGCATCTAATCACTAGTAATATAAATTATAAAGCACACTGACCTTAATAAACCGGAAATATGCAAAATTGAAGCACTGTAATGGCATCCAAATAGAGCAAGTGTAAGTTCGTGCTTTGGAATTAACAGCTCAACATTCAACACAAAGACTGACGACTGACGAGAAAGATAATCAAAGCTAACTGAACTGTTTTGTCGGCAATGAAATTATATTGTTAAGTAAACCGCAAGCAAGTCTGATTCGTTTTGTTTTTCCTTGAATCCCTGGACAGGTCCGTATTCACTACTACATACGTAGCTTTTGTGAAAATATTTTGTCAGAAAAACGTATCTGGCCACTTTAACTTCAAGGGGTGATTCCTTCCTTCAAGATGAAAGGTGTTAAGATATTTTTCGAAATATCGAACTTCCGAAAAAATGCAAAGACGTTGGAAACCTAAAACAATTCAAATAAAAAAGGTGTGTCAATAAAACGCAAACCCCAAGAGAAAAAATGAAGGATTTAATTCCGACTAGCCATGATCATTTGTCTTGATATGGCGTTTTCCCTAATATATTCTATTTAAAATCCGTGCTTTATAACGATTTACAAGAGTTTTTCGACAAAGTTTGACAACCTAGACATGAAGAAAAACTGGACCCATGGTTACAATAATTGTTTATAATTATTATAAACTTTCATTCTTGGAACCATTTAAGAAATTACCTCTTGAACTTTGACCAGGTAAATGCTTTATGATATGCAGCTGAGAAGGTCGACTCAATATCTCTTCTGTAATACAATCCCTCTGTTGGCTGAAATGCTACCTGCCATTTGGATGCGATTAGCCATTCATTACGTGAGGTAATAGACCAGGAAGTATATTCGCATCTGCTCGGAAACATATTCTGATTAAGTTTATTTCACAACCTTAATAAAACGAAAAACAATTTTTGGCGCAATTTTAGGTATGGCAACATGCAGATTTAATAAAAGGGGTATTTTTTTAATAAAATTATGCGAAAAGACAATCAAAATATGTTTCTAAGCAGATGCGAAACACTTCCTGTTCTACCCAGATAATCGGCCAGCATCCCACCCCGTCGGAAGTGAATCGCGTGGTTGTTGAATGTGTACAGGCGATTCACTAGGACAAGTTGGTGCTACATGCCTGGATGCCAAATACAGCAGGGAAATGGTATTCCTATGTTTAGTTGCCTTGCTAATGATTTTAGGCAAGTATTGTTATTCCAGCATATTAGGAATCTGTTTTTCCATACAGGGGCTCAGGTCGAGGTGAAATTCACGAAAGACATCCATCCAAAATTTATGTATGATTCATAAATGTAAAAGGGTCAAAAACGCGATATCACAAAAATCTGATGCGTAGCTTTACTTCTAATTTCCCAAATAACCCATGATCAATTTGGAGGCTTGATAGAGCCTTTTTGGAGCTACGTTGACTATTTTACGGAATTGGAGGAAATCTTAACAAAGAACTTTTAAATATGTCAACCGGGATACAGTCACTACGACGGCAAATAAAGATAATCCTAAATTAAGAACATTAACTTATCTATATGTTTATCGAAACAAGACAGAGCAAAGTGCCATCTGTAATCAGAATCGACCACTGCGAAAGAAAAGACAATTCGCAGTGGTCGAATCAGATAACAGTTGGCAATTTTTGCTGTCTTATTTCGATATACCTTATATCTACTATATATATAGTATAATTTGTTCAGCTTTCGTTCATTGTCCTACCTGAGACCAAGCTTTCACCATGCTAAGGAGTTGCCAAATAGCACGAAACATGCATGGTTGGCCGGATGAAAGCTAGATTACTAGTTTGATCTATATCTCCTGCAGTGGCATTCATACCATATCCTTTGTAGTTTATGGAAGACTCATTTTATTTCTATCACGTTATTTTTCATGTTTTATTGCAGTTCTTCACCTAACGACAGATAAGAAAATTTAAAAAACACTTATTTTTCACTCGGCGCACTTACATCCATTTTCAAATTTATGACCACATATATTCCAAGTTTTGACAAAATCGGCACAGCAGTTACTGAGGTTATGTAATGTCAAAGAAGACAGTACTCGTACGACTGGTAAAGCATTGCTAATCAGTGACGTACGGGCTAAAAACTAATTTTAGACCCGCGTTTCCGTACATTCGCCCAAGCACGACAGCACTACCCTGTATGAAAGAATAAAAAGGAGCGAGACCTCATCAAGTGAGGCATCTAAAATAAAAAGGATCCGAGTTCTTAGAAAAATGTCGGCATCTTTAGAAGTCAGAAGATCAAAGGCTTTTCCGCGAGTTGCCATTTTACTGGTAACTTTGTATTCTTTGCTTAACCCATGAGAATTTCTTAGAGAGTTTCCTCATTAGAACTCTTCAAGCCATATCGGAATAAAACGTAAAGCTTTTTGTTCTCAGTTCTGTGAATGAGAGTTTCAAACGAATTTGTTTCGGTACGGGACTGTCGACCGAGATAAAGCTTTGCTAACAATAAACCATAACAACCAAAAGTAAACATTTTGGATAGATACGGATGTTTTCGAAGCGCTGCATTTAGTCTTTAATTTGTCTCCGATTAGATAGACTTATATCGTTGTAATGGCATTTGCTGATTTTGTCGTTTAGTTAATCAGGGGATTGGTAATGGAGAAAGGTAGCCAACAATTACTTTTTTGGTGATAACTTGTTACAGTTAGGTATTAAAAATTAAGGTTTTGGTCCAGTACAGCATCAATTTAGGATCGGTCAGTACTAGTAAGTAAGCAACGGACAAGATACCCATTCGGTTTAGAGCCAGATAAAAAATGACGTCAAGTAGGTAGACTCTGCACTTCCTACTCAACGCTGTCATTATTGCATAAAGGATTATGTTTGGCAGAAGTCTGAAGAACAAGTGAGCTACGAACATGTATAACCAAAAATTATATGCATCGAGTTAGTCAAACAAGTCCATTCAAATTATTCAATATTGTCCACCCATTCGATAACCCTGCGATCTAGAAATTCTTCCACTGCCCTACCGACATTATTGACCATCTGGCAACATTGATTAAGCACGCCAGTCAGCCAACGGTCTGCGCCAGTAGTGAGCAGTGAGAAGCAGGCAATTACCGGGGCTGTAAGCGTATACATGTACAGGGTGCGACAGCAAAACTTTTTTCAAACCTTATCCAAAAACCCATTGTATGAAAAAGAACAGTCAACAGTCTTATCTGTTTTTCATAATGTTTCTTCCTTGACGTTGGTCTTCAAATGTTGTAGGGTCATGGGACGCTTCACATAGACACGAAATTAAAAAAAACCCTTTGAAAAAACCACAAGGTTCTAAATCGGGGGATCGGCACGGATATTACATATTGAAAAGTGACATTATGTCGATTTTTTTTACATAGTTTTGGTTTTTCATGACACTGTGTAGGTTTTTCTACAATATGTTAACTTAGCACAAGCTGATGGACACGTTGTGAACTCCTTTTGTAGTTGTACGTGTTGCCTAAACGTCATGAGGCTTCAGTTATCAATGTTTGGCTCTGATGTGATGTAAAATCCGCTTCAGAGATGGCATTACTGGAGGTCTAAGCTGTGAGTTGTATACTATAGCTAGAAGGAAACGGCAATGCATAGGTGCATAGTGAGGATTTGTGTGCTAATAGTATGTGCTGATGATAATTCCATTGGATTCCTGTCTCAAATGCACTTACTTGAGGTCCAACTTTTCTCACAAAGTGAATATCACTGATTTTATACATATGTAGACCAATACACATAATCATGCAGATGCGATTTTGCTATTCAATCAACTTTCATCTCAGAGATGAAAACTACAGATTTATCGGTTTCACAAAACATATGCAACCAACAATGTGTGTAGTTGAGTCATTCCTCCATAGATGGATGCTCAGAACGATCTTAGTTAGCAAACGTGGAATGACTGTTTGCACCCTAAAAACTACCTAGTCTGCAAGATGACATTTTATAGGTTTTTTACGTCTTATAGGTTTTTTACATAATGCCCGTACGGACCGGCCACTCCAAATCGTCCTCTGCGAAAGTCACCCAGCGAAGCCGGTTGCGCCTTGTTGGAACCAAATGTCCGGCTCATCTAGGCTCAAAAAAGCATGTAACATCTTAACATACTGGTCAGAATTCACTGTCACTGCGGCTTCATTTTCTACAAAGAACCAGGGACCCATAATTCCAGCTGAGGAAATTGCACACCACACTGTGACTTTAGCTGAATGTAAATTCCTTTAAAGTAACTCTCACGTTCTGAGAAGTCCTGCACAATTGCCATCTTGTAAGGATGTAAATAAAGATCTTTATGAAGAATTTTTCTCACAGAACGATAGGGACTCAGTTCTTAGTCTCGTCACACTTGCAGTTTGTCTGAAGGTAGTCACTCACGTAACAATTGATTTCCGATCGGGGACAGAGGTCAACGGGGCAAGATCCAAAAATATGGAAAGTGTTCAGAAATCCTCAGATAGGCATTTTATTATATGAGAACAAAAGAATTACGTGGCATTTATAATTAACTAGTGTAATAATGTTAAAGATTAAAACATAAAAAACTTCATTGCCCTGTTATCAAAAAAAAAAAAAACATTTTGAGGGACCCCGAGACATACCCCAGCCATTCCACACAAAACAATGTCTTTGATGGCGAAAACGAACATGAGACCGAAAAATTCACATTATCGTATGGACGCTAGACGAGACAAAGAAGGATGTCTATAGACCATCTATAGATCGTGTCTTGAGACCATATGCCTATAGACAAATTGCGCAACGGGGTCTACTAGTAAGCTAAGCTTAAGGATTAATACTCTGAACTACCCGTTAACCGTTAAACAAATCAAGTAATTGGTGTAAATACTGACACAATCAAGCACTTCTATTATATCAGCAGGTGATACAAAATATCAATAGGTATAGTCAATTATTTTTCGAAATTCAATATAGATGTTACAGTTATTCTTCAGACTTTCGTTGTCGAACTTAGATTTACGGCATAGTTGTGGTTTTCTCAGTTTTCGAATCGCTGTTCATCGCATGTAAAAATGTTGGAAATCTTTGGAAAAAACTATATATGTTAGATCGTAATTATTTTGGCAATGTATGTTTGTACGAAACAAGAACAGGAATACAGGGCTGTACATATTTACGTGTAGTGCAGAAGCTCTGTGACTCAAACGAATTCCAATATAGCAACATACGCGGGAAGAAATGCGGGACGTGTGGTA